ATAGGAGGTCACCACAGAGCCCCAGCCTCTTCAACACTCAAATACAACAGAAGCACCTCCTTCCTGGCATGGCTAAGAAGGTCATAGAAAATGATGTATGTGAAATACTTAGGACACACAGAGCCCAGTAAATGCAATTTTCACATACATGTTGCTATTTTCTTTGGGGGTCCTCTCTAAAAGTCCCCCAGAGCACTCATGAGCCCTGGGTCCCCAGACTTTCAGGGAGATGTGCACAGCTCCAATTAACCCGAACCTGTGCAGAGAGACCCGGGAAGTGCATCCTCCGGACTGGGTTAGATGAGGCTGACACAGGGTGGGCTTCTGGGGCGAGCAGAGTGTGTGTGTGTGTACAGGTGAATCTGTGTATGCCAGTCCTGCTGGTGATACAAGGGAAAGAGAATCCAAAAGGCAATGAACGTGAAGAAGTGGTGCCAAACCCAGCTGTGCAAGAAGAGAGTTAGAGTGGCTCAGAGGCTGGGGGTCTGAGGAGAGGGTCCTGGGGTCCAGTTTGCTCGGTGCTCCATTTTGCTGACCTGGGTGGGCGTACGCGGGGAGTGGAGAAGACGGCAGCGCGCCAGGCCCCTCCGTGGGCTACCCCACCCCAGTCACTCAGAGAGTGTGTCCCCGCGCTGCCTCCAAGCTGCAGAAGTTCTCCAGGGCCCGAGGCTGGGGGTTGGGCAGATAGGGATCGCCCAACAGTTTCCAGCACTCCTTCGGAAGACAGACCCTCTTGGCCACATGCTTTTCCGTGACATCACTGCCAGTGACCTTTGGAAGCCAGCAGGGCGGAGTCCGAGGGGCCGGGCACAGGCCACGATTCTCTGGTGGCCACAAAGGTTGGGATTGTGAGCCGCCCAGAGCTGGAGAGGCGCCTCAATGGGGACAATGTCCCCGACTGGACTGGGAATGGTTCCCCTGCCCTGGGATATTGCAGGACTATAGTGGACCTGTTGTCTCTGCTCCTTTTCTAGACTAAAAAGCACATTGTTGAGTACAGAGGCTGTGTGTGCGTGTGTATGTGTGTGTGCACAGAAGTGTAAAGACTCTCAGAAAATTGCATTTTGCTTTTAGAACAAATGATGATGATGTGGAGTGGAAAACTTGCAGCCCAGCCAGCAGAGAGAAGTGTGCTTTTTGCTTTTAAGAAGCCTTGGGAGGGAGAGAAGGGTGGAGGAGAGGTGGAGGGGAAGAGTTTCGCCCATGTTTTACGAACAGCAGGTAGTGCTGGATGATCAATATGCCCAATGAGTCCAAAGCTGATTACAGCAAACACAACCAACAGCCCTGTGTCTACTCAAAGTAATAGCCTTAAACACTTGACGGAAATAACTCAATTACCTTATTGATTGGGGTTTCAGTCACCTCCTCCAACATACAACACACATGGACACTACCACAGACCCATGCATCTTATTTATTGCCTCTTTGCTTCCTTTTAAAACCTCATGCAATTGGCATGACCTGTACCACCAGCTTGGAAAATAAAGTTCCATCTGTTTCTTATCTGCACATACATCACTGAGGTCCCCACCTGCCCAAATTGAAGGATGGCCAATAGCATCTCTCTTGGGACCTCCTCCCCCACCCAATCTAAAGAACCCCAGGTGCTCACCAAGCCCGAACTGGTTAGTGTAAAGAAATAGTTGAGAAACCTGCTCAGACCCCCAGCCCCCTCCTCCCCCTCATTTCCTGCTGTTGTCACTTCAAGCCCCATCACACGGTGCTGTGATGAAGGATGCTGCCGTGCCAGCACTGGGCTAGCCCGGACCGCGCGGAGGCAGCAGGGTTTCCCGAGGGCCCGACTCGCTGGTCCATTCAGACTCACATGTGGATCGCTGTCCCAAAGCCCTGCCCTCCACAGCAGGATGGGAAGAGGCTTCCGCGGACAGCCAGAGGCAGCTCTGCCTGGAGATTTTCCCCTGGAGTCCCTGATGCCTTGTCCTGCCAGCAGACCTCAGCCAGGCCACTCAGCCCAGCAGAAGCAGCTATACCATTGCCTCAAGAGCCCCTCACACGGCATCCAACCCACCACCGTGTTTCTCATGTGAGGAAAACGGGCCTGGTCAGTCACTGCCACCCTCACACCTCCAGTGTGGAGCTGCCGTGGGGTGTGGTCTGGGTTCCCGTCATGCTGGGCTCTGGGCAACCTGTTCTTAGCCTGCAGCAAAGCCCCTCTTGGCCCCTGCCTGGCTGGCCCTGCTGGACATCCTGGAGGAGGTGCCTCCTGTGCGTCTTCCCGCAGCCCCGGGCACCCCTTCATCCTGCACAAATTGGGGCTGGGGTCAGCCTGGACTCTGCTCTAGTTAGTAGCCTTTTTCTGGCCTGTGTTTCTGTATTTTTCAAACTCTCCCTCTCTACCAGTTCAAAGCTTCCTCAGATCTAATAAAAGTAAAAAGTCCTTTGTCCCCACACTTCTCCCTTCCTTCCTCACCGCCCCACTCTGTCCTCCCTCTGGCTTTGCCTTTCCCTCTCTTTTCTGTTCTGTCTTCTCCCACTGTCCTTCTCTCAAAAAAAATTTTAATGAACACGCTCTCCCACCCTCATACTCACACCATATCCATACTCCTTGTGCCTACACTGGGCAAGAACGGCCACAGCTTCCATAGTTTCCTCGGGGGCCGCTGTGCTGGCTGTGACCAAGACAGACCCAGGAGGGGTGAAGTCTGGTGCTCACCAGGCCCTGGGAAGACAGAGGTGGGTGCAGGGAGAGCAAGACCGGGCTCCTGTCCCCAGAAATGCCACTCTCCTGTTGCCAGGTGGGCACAGCCCAGACTTGTCCCAGGGCCTGGGAATCCCGAATGACCAGCTGCTCAGGCAGAGGATAACCCCATACCTATGGATAACTTCCATAGATGGAAGTGGGGCATTTGTTCTGCTGCTTCAGATGAACAGGTCACTGGCACATACCCCTCCCCGCCATCCACTGATCCTCCCCTTTCTAGAGGAAAGGTTTTACAGTGTAGGAGCCTCTTCTTGATATGTGCCTGTTTGGACCTTCATGTCATAGCAGGAGCTTTCTTAGAGGTTAAAAAGAGCCTTTATCTTCCTGACTCGGAGACCGACAACATGCTATTTACTGAGAAAGGGAAAGAAAAGAAACCAAAATTGACTAAACGTCTACGAAGTGCCAGGCGTTTGCCTATGAGTTAGGGACACAATGGTGAACGAGATTCACACTGCCCTCATGGGGCTTACGTTCTACCAGGGAAGCAGACACGGTGCATGTACACAAACAGAGGCACTGCAGATGGAAGGGCTAGGGAGGTAATTAACAGGGGGCGGTGGTTTATGGCAAGACCAGAGATTTCTCTGGGGTAGAGGGAAACTCTCTCTAAGAAGGGGTCATTGAAGCAGAGCCCCGAGAGAACTCAAGATGAAATTTAAAGCCATGCTTACTACAACCTAGGAATGTCTGGGTTATTGTCATCCACAATATACACATTATGAAATCAAGGCTCCAAGAGATAAGGTAACATACCCAGTGGCATGTTTGACACCAGAGCCATACTTTCTCTGTTGCCGCCCCTCTTTTGGGGTACTTGTGCCTTCTTTCTGAATAATAAAAGGCACTTGGGAAACTCTGGAACCTAGGTGTGAAGATTTCCACTGACTCTTCTCCTTTGAGATCAATGTGCACTCCTGGTAAAGTATAATAAGCAGCTACTCCATGCCCATGGAAGATCAAGGCTGTTCTATCTTCTCAAGGGTTTTGGAAGATAAGCCAAAACGTAACCCAGCGCTCAGATATGGCCTGGAAAGGAGTGCAGAGTAGGGCAGACGACTTGGACAGAGTCCTTGGCTAAGGAGCTCTGCTGGGGGTTGGCCCTGCAAGAACAGAGTGGTCTGGCCAGACAGAAGGGAGGGGGTGACAGCTCCAAGCACGCATGGTGTGAGCACTCCCAGGAAACAGCTGGGAGCTGCGTGAGGATGACTGGAAGAGCTGCCAGACCTTCCCATGACCTGTCACAAGAGAAGACAGAGGCATGGGTCCAGTGCCCTGGATCAGTCCATCAGTCAACATTTTCTGAGTGTAGAACTCGTGGGTCCTAAGTCCTGCACAAGGTACTGTGAGGACAAAGACCACAGAACCCTGACCTCTGCCTGCAGGACTCCAAAACCTCCTTGAAGAGAAGTGCTCAAGCTTATGAAATGACTTACCCCCAGCAGCCCAGCAGCATGTTGGAATCCACATGGCATGGCCAGGTGAGGCTGCAAAGGAGGGCTTCCTGGAGGAGGCAAACACATTTTAAAGGTGGGGAAAGAGCCAGATTGGCAGAGAGGTGGCACGGAAGACATTTCAGATAATGAATGTACCATTTACAAGGTCAAAAACAAGGCTAGCCGGAGAGGACAGTAATAACAGATAACACAAATGATGGATCTTGGGAGGCCAGAGTCTTCACTGGGGTCAGGAATGAGTAACTCACTGAAAGTTCTTGAGCAAGGGAGTCACAGGATGAAACCAACGCCTTTTAAACTGAAACAGTAATTCTTCGCTTGTATGGAACAACCTGCAATACTCAGATCACTCCACATATATTATTTCACTTGAATCTCACAACTTCCAGTGAGGGATAGAGTTATCATTGCCTTCTGTGGCTGAGAAAACAGATGGGGGAAGCTTAAATGACTTGCCTAAGAGCATACATCTAAGGCAAGGAGCTAAAGCTAGAGCCTCATCCACTATTCTGCCATGTCATGGGAAAGGCATGGCTTTTTAAACCAGGCAGATCTGAGTTCCAATGCAGGTTCTGCCAGTTACTAGCAAGCTGTGTGGCCTGGGACAGGTTACTAACCTCTCTGAACCTCAGTTTTCTCCTTTCTAAAATAAGAAGAACATACCTTAGAGAGACACGAGTATGTCATGAGGCCTAAAGTAATGATGGTCCAAAGTAACGATGGCCTAAAGAGAAGTCTTACCGATATGAGTTTCGTTCGTCTTTTCTACTGCTGCCCACTCAGATCCCGAACAAACTGCGTTGTGGACCCAACTTCTTCTATCTCCCAGTGGTGCCAGTGAAGCTCTGGAGGCAGGTGATTTCAACCTCATGCCCAAGGGGTGTGGATCCTGGGTTCAGCAAGGCTACAGCCCCATCACAGCCACACGAGGGGCCCTGCCGGCTGGAGGGTGCTCTGCCAAACAGCATGTCCCACCTGGGAGCAAGCTGCTTCAGAAGAAAAGGGCCGAGTTGCAGAGAGACTAGTGATGGCCTGAAGCTGTGCAGCATGCTTCCACCCTTCACTGATAGGGCAGGCGTGGAGTGTTTTTTATTTAAAAAAAAAAACCAAACAGGATTTAAAAGAACAGCCCACACAAATGACTTATTAGAAATCGCACCCTTGACTTATCATTTGGAATAAAAACAATTTTTTATCCTGGCAAAGCTCTTTATTCTTTTTGGAACATTTTCATATACATTATTTCACTTGATCCGCAGATGCTGAAAGGGAGACAGGCAGGCTTTACTGTTCCCTTTGAACAGATGGAAAATCCATAGCTTAGAAGTGGGGGTGAGGGGCCCCAGACCTCTCCCCGCTTCCTCTGTGCTGTACTCAGAGCCCAGACCCATCCATGGACAAGCTCAGCTCTGATGTTTTAAATCCTCCCCCATCCCGCTTAGCCACGGAATCACCAGGGATGCCCCCCAGAGGCTCATGCAACGAGTGGGCATGGATGGGGGCTGGGTTTTCAAAAGAGAGCGCTACCCTGGGCACATCCTACAGATGTGATGAACTCACCACTCAGGGCAAGCGGGGGTCCCTAAACCACCCACCCACCCAGGCACCCTTCGCTCCTGCTCCAACCACCTTTCCCACCAACCGTCCTTCAACCTGGGGGCCTCAGAGAAGTGAAAGGTTCATTTGGCAGCAGCTCACCTGAGGTCCACACTGGGCTGAGCCTTCAACTTCAGCTTGAGAAATTGGAGACGTCAGTTCACTCCTGGAACCTACCTCAAGCGAAGCGGGGGGCTGCAACCCAGACCACTGATGGGCCCCTCTGTCGGCAGATCTCCGCTGTGTCATCAGCAGCAGAGAGGGGCTGAGGCTGAGAACAGCAAACAAATACTTCTCAGCTGCCAGGAAGTGCTCCAGGCCCCTGGGTTCCTCGTGAACACAACTGAGAGAGTCACTTGCTTTCTTTTGGCTTATATTTCTAGTCAAGGGAGACATAAAAGCAAAAATGGGCATAATCAAGAAGTAGGGACTTCCCTGGTGGTCCAGTGGTTAATAAGACACTGCACTTTCACTGCAGGGGACACAGGTCCAATATTTGGTCGGGGAACTAAGATCTTGCAGGCTATATGGCACAGCCAAAAGAATAAATAAAGGAGAATTTTTTTTTAAATAAGAAATAAATGAAGAGATAAGGTGGGTGATGACTGTGAAAAGAGTATTGCAGGGTATCGGGGACAGAGCACGGTGGGCGAAGACAGGGAGGTGTGCGGTTCCTATTTTAAATATAGCATTGTCACAAGCTTTGTTGAGAGGTTGACATTCGAGCAAAGATTTGAAGGAATGAGGGAGTTAACATAGTGCTATCTGGAGGAAAAGCTTTCCAGCCAGAGCAAAGGCTCTAGGGAACAGGGGAAGGCCCGAGTGGCTGGAGCAGAGGGCAAGAGGGGTAATAGGAGACGAAGTCAGAGAGAAAACAGGAGCCCGGTCCTGGGCTCACAAACAGTCTTGTAGGGCATTTTAGGGACCCTAAACTTTACTCTGAGAGAAATGGAGGCATTTGAAGAATTTTAAGTGAGGAATGAAACGATCTAACTTTTAGCATTATGCCCTACTGGGGATAGACTGTATGGGGGTGGGAGGGAGTGGCAAGAACAAAAGCTAAGAGAAACCAGAGAGGCTGCGGCAGTAATTCAGGTGAAAAGTGGAATTCCCCAACCAGGGTCAGCAGTGGAGGTGGTAATAAGTGGTTGATACTGGCTTCATTCTAAAGGTAGAGGCAATAGGATTTTCTGAGAAGTTGGATGGCAGAAGAGGAGCTGAGAGGAGAAGAGAGGAGTCAAGGCAACTTGCAAGATTTGGGCTTGAGCAACGGGAAGAACGGAGATGCCGTAACCTGAAGGTGGAGCTGGTGGGTGTGGAGTTCAAGAGCTCAGGTTTGGAGATACCGAGTTTAGATGCTGGTTACACATCCAAGTGGAGATGTTGAGGTAGCAAGCCACCCAAGCCAGCTGGGGTATCCTTGTCAACACCTGCCAGGCCACCGAAACAGTGCCACTCTCACTACTCAGCCCCCGGGGTAGATGACCCAGGAGGAGGGGCTGCCCAGCAGTCTCCTGCTATAGTCACTGGGTACCCAGCTGCCTAGGCCCCGCCCCATGTACCACTCTATCTGCAATATGACTGAGGCTGCAAGGCTCATGCACAAAAAGCAGCCTCAGGGAAGCATTTTCAGACTAAGGCTATTGGTGCCTTGTAAATCATCAAGGGCTAGTCAAATTCCTATCTACACCTTGGATGCAACTCCTGCCCAGCAAAACCAGGTGCCAGCCTTAAGACAATACATACTTCAGACTCAGCCAACACTGGCTGAGTAGCCCTACATGCCGGGCACTCTGTGGGGCACTGTCCCTTCTACCCTCCATTTGATTCTTATCGCAACTGTAGCTATGATCCCCATTTTGAAGACAAGGCAACTAAGGCCGAGAAAGCTTTAAACGTGCCCACAGCCATAGAACTACTAAGTGTAGACACTAAATACTACTGCTCCCCACCCATTGCCATCACTCCATGTAACATTTTACAATGACTTGTGTTTCAAGGCCAAGTGCAAATCATACCTCTTCCATGGAGTCTCTCCAACTCTCCAGTTGAATTGTCCCTGCGATAACGTTTTGCTTACATCTCCCCCATGGAAACCATGAGCATGGAAACCGCTGTTACCACTGCATGTACTGCAACTTCCTACCGGGTTACAACTTTCTTGAGAGCAGGAGCCATATCTTTTCATCCTCATTCCTAAAGTAATGAGCTCAGTATGTTTATAAAATGTATATGATTTCACACTTTTTACACACTCTCACATGGAATACTACATGTGACTCCCATATAGTTTGCTGTTGTTTAGTCATTAAGTCCTGCCCAACTCTTTGCGACCATATGGACTGTAGCCTACCAGGCTCCTCTGTCCATGGGATTTCTCAGGCAAGAATACTAGAGTGGGTTGTCGTTTCCTTCTCCAGGGGATCTTCTTAACATAGGGATCAAACCCAAGTCTTCTGCACTGGCGGGGGGATTCCTTACCATTAAACCACCGGGGAGGTATTAGACACACGAATCCTATTAGTCTCATTTATGGTTAAGAACATCTAGACTCAGAGAAGTTGGAGGACTCGTCCAAGGCCATACAGCTGGATGGTGGTGTGGGACCCAGGTTCCAAGCTTGTGACACTCAACTCAATGCCCACTGCATGTGCAGGTGGTCAATTTTGTCCTAAAGTTCCTGGGGGCACACCCCAGCCTTGGGTGGAATCTTAGAAGTATGTCATCTCTTTCTTTAACTCTTTCCCTGGCTGCTCTCCTTTTGTCTCCTCATCACTGTATTCTTCCTCCTCATCTCTGATTACCATTGCATTGTCCTTCCCCTGCCCAGATCTCCAAATCCTGAGCAAGAAGAGGAGAGAAATCCCAATCAGAGAGCAGCTCTGAGGAGAGAACCCTGCAACACTCCGGGAAAAGGGTGAGAGGTTAGACATCTGTTATAATCTCCTCTTATCTGCCCCGTTGGCAAGGGAGGGGTCCGCCCTGGGCTGCAGGGATGACTGAACATATGACAGCTGATACTGGGCGGATGAGGTAGCTTATTAATCACACACACTCATGGTCTTGGAAGGAAGGACACTGCATACCACAAAGAACCACACGGGAGCTGCACTTGGGAACGCGGCGGTAAGCAGGAAGCGTACCTCGTTTACTGGATAAGGAGGGTGGTTTGGGTGTGAGACCTTATCTGCAGGGGCAGAGTGGGGAGGGGAACTTGCAATTAGGCCTTTTAAGACTCTATCCGTTTCACCTGATGTCAAGGTAACACACAATACTGGGCCTTAATCTGGGGGGCTTACACCAAACATTTTCACCAAGCTGTCTTTATTTTTCCATAGATTTTTAATCTGAATAATTTTAGACTTTCTTATTATTATTAGACTTATTATTATTATTTAGACTATTATTACAATAGTAGAACAGAGAGTTCCTGTATATCTTTCACTTGGCCTCTCCCAATATTAACATCTTATGTAACCTAGTGCATTTATCAAAACCAAGAAATTAGTATTGGTACAACACTATTACCACAGTTCAATTTTATTTGGATTTTACCAGCTTTTCCATTTATGATCTCTTTCTAGCCCAGGATCCAACCCAGGATATCACATTGTATTTCGTCATCATGTCCCCTTAGTCTCACCCAGCTGTGACATTTCTCAGCCTATCATTGTTCTTTGTGACCTTGACGCTTTTCAGGAATACTGGTCAGATACTTTGTAGAATATCCTCTATTGTGGGTCTGTCTGATGGGTTTTCTTGCCTAGACTGGGATTTGGGGATTTGGAAATAATACTACAGAGGTGGGGTGCCTTCTCATTATTATACCAAACGCATGCGGTACCCATCAATAATATGTTAAATCTCATCACTTGGTGTCTGAAAGATTTCTCTACAAAGTTACTATTGTTTTATTTTATCAATTTTTTTCTCTGCTTAAATTTTTCTAGATCTAGCCATTGGAGCTCTTTCAGGTTGGCTCCTGTGTCATTTTGACATACACTTTTTTCCCTCTTTCTGCAGTGATGGAAATATCCTGTATCTGCACTGTTCAGGGTGCTGGCTTCTGAGGACTTGAAATGTGGCACAACTAATAAACTAAGTTTTTAATTTTATTTTAATTAATGTAAATAGCCACATGAGGCTAGTGGCTACCATTTTGGATCCCATAGTTCGAGATGATGCTCGCCACTCCTCTCCTAACCCTTAAAAGACAAATTTCCATGTCTCTAACCTTCCTTCTCTTCATGATGAGAAATAGACCTCTCCTCAGTTCTCTCATAGTCCTTTATACTTATTTCTAATATCTCAGTATACAGGAACAATGTGGTTGTATTTCTACTCCCCAATAGACTATGAGCTTCTTGCAGAATGGGATTGTGACTTTCTCATCTCTGTAATTCAGATCACCATTGTATCTACTACTGTGGGCCATAATCCCTTAGAAGAAATGGAGTAGCCCTCATAGTCAACAAAAGAGTCCAAAATACAGTACTTGGGAGCAATCTCAAAAATGACAGAATGATCTTGGTTTGTTTCCAAGGCAAACCAGTCAATATCACAGTAATCCAAGTCTATGTCCCAACCAGTAATGCTGAAGAAGCTGAAGTTGAACGGTTCTATGAAGACCTACAAGACCTTCTAGAACTAACACCAAAAAAGATGTCCTTTTCATCATAGGGGACTGTAATGCAAAAGTAGGAAATCAAGATACCCAAAATAACAGGCAAGTTTGGGCTTGGAGTACAGAATGAAGCAGGGCAGACACTAACAGTTTTGCCAAGAGGGTCATAGCAAACACTGTCTTACAACAACACAAGAGATGACTCTATACATGGACTCTATACTCGATACCAGATGGTCAATACCAAAATCAGATTGATTATATTCTTTGCAGCCAAAGATGGAGAAGCTCTATACAGTCAGCAAAAACAAGACTGAGAGTTGATCATGAACTCCTTATTGCCAAATTCATTTATACTAAGGAAAGTAGGGAAAACCACTAGGCCACTCAGGTATGACCTAAATCAAATTCCTTATGAATACACAGTGGATGTGACAAATAGATTCAAGGGATTAGATCTGATAGACAGAGTGCCTGAACAACTATGGACAGAGGTTCATAACATTGTACAGGAGGCAGTGATCAAAACCATACCCAAGAAAAAGAAAGGCAAAATGGTTGACTAAGGAGGCCTTACAAATAAATCAGAAAAGAAGAGGAGGAAAAGGCAAAGGAGAAAAAGAAAGATATACCCATCTGAATGCAGAGTTCCAAAGAAGAGCAAAGAGAGATAAGAAAGTCTTCCTAAGTGAACAATGCAAAGAAATGGAGGAAAACAATAGAATGGGAAAGACTAGAGATCTCTTCTAGAAAATTAGAGATGCCAAGAGAATGTTTCATGCAAAGATGG